GGTTACCCCCCCCCCCCCCGGGGGTGGCAGGGGTTCCGCCCGGGGGGGGGGGGGGGGGGCAATGGGACGGGGGTAGGTTTTCCGCAGATTAAGGGGCCCCCGGGCCCCAACTTTTTTTTTTTCCAAAAGATGGGGCGCGGGGAGTATGACGTTTTCAACGCGGGGGCCCTGGGGGGGGATTTTTCAAAGTAGGGCCCCGTGACGCGCGGGGAGATCCCCGTGGACAAGGAGAGGGGTTGGTCCAAGGGCTTTGGTTTTTTTTCCTTTCCCCCCGTGGAGGTTGCTGACCCCCCCCTCCAGGCTTTCCCCGGGGCGTGGATGGATGGGAAAGAAATAAAATTCGAGAAGGGGCCGCCCCGCCAGCACACAGGCACACACAGCCCCCGGGCCCCCTTCTTCTTCGGTCCCCAAAAGGGACACCCCCCCCCCCCCCCCCCCCAGACGAAAGAGGATGGAAGTGGCGGCGGCGGCGGCGGCGGCGGCGGCTACGGAGGCTTCGGGGGCTATTAGAGGCGAGACGGCTCCTAGCCGACGCGTCTGGGCGCTTGATTGAGGCGGGCGAGGTGCGGATGCATTGGCCCGCTCGCTCTCCGTGTCCGGTCCTAGCTCCCACGGCTGTGCCGGTGAGCAGTACAATTGCCGCGCATCTCTAGAGGTGTTGGCGGAGGCTCTCTCACACCGTCACAGACGTTAGAGACTCAAAGAGTAGAGAGTTCGCTGCGATCGGCCGAGAGTCGAGAGACGTGGCAGTAAAGAAAACGGACACCTCTACGGCTAGGATATGGGTAAAATTGAGCAGGTCCCCGCCATGGCCATGGCGGCGCCATGCGCGGCGCCTCCAGGTGCAGGCTCTCCCCAGACCCCACTCCCGGTGCGGCCCCCCCGGTCCCGCACAGCCCGCACACTCTTTTCACCGGGTGTGGGTGCGAAGTCGGAGCAACTTGCCAAACTTGGTCTTGGAGACCGTGCACTGTGCAGTCATCAGCCGCACACCCACCGGCCCAGGGCCGGGGAGCTAAGAAGCGCACCCAGAGGCCGGACGATTGGGATCGGGTTCGTGGTTGCGGGGGCAAGAGACAGGTGAGTGACAGGTGCAAGTGGGGTGGAGAGAGAGCCCTTGGGCCGGGGGGGGGGGGGGGTCCCAGGTATTTTCTCGGGTATTTACCCGCACGGTGGACGCTAGAGATCGTCGTGGGCCAGGACGTGGGTTACTGGCAGGCCCTCCTTATTCGGTTGTTCAGCTGGCCTAACCCCGCGTTAGCTGCTGTGTGTTGTTGGGGGGAGGCCCACTGTTGTTCTGTTGAATACTCGCTGATAACACTCATAGCACCACTCGCTGTTTTTTCACAGCTCCCAACGTTAAACACCGCAGCTTTACGGGGATTCGTTCGTAACCAAGATTGCCTGAGAGGCGGCGGCCGGCACTGCGCTGGAAACGCCGCATATACACACATATACACACACTACTCGTCCGGCGCAAGGGGGTGGGCGCGAGGATAACAGGCCACTACAAGCGCCTCGTCCCTCGAAACCATGGGGGTCACAGGGACTGGGACTCAGGCCAATCTGCGATCGCGGGAACGGCGTGGACCGGTTCGTGCAGGAGACCCTCACCCCCCCCCCCCCCTCCTGCCCCCGGGCCCCCCGGGCGGCCGCCGCCGTGCGCCAGACGACGCGCGGACAAGAAGCCCTCGGCGAAACTCACAGAAGCCAT